CTCTCTCTCCCTCTCTCTCCCTCTCTTTCTCTTTTCCTCGAAGGCGCTCTCTCGCTGCATCCCACCCCCGCCTCCCCCTCACCTCGCCGCGCATGTGTGCCGGCAATAGGACCTGTGGGAGTGTGTTCGGTTTTGCGACGTCATTACCCTACTTCGAGGCGCTTGCGAGAGCCCCTCTGCGCCCCTGCCATTCCCCGCCATTCCCCGCCCCGCCACGTCCCGCCACGCCCCCTTCGCCCTGCCCTACCACGGCTGGAACGACAATGGAAAGCAACCACACAACACAACACTGCGGCGGCAGACGGCCGATTGAAAGTCGCTTCGGTAATGGTCGACCCTGCACGCACACAGGCAGTGGCCGTGCGAGTGTTGAGTGAGCAAGTGAGCGAGGGCGTGAGCGAGTGAGCGAGGAAGTAGTTGAGCAAGTGAGTGAAACACGAGCAGCGTGGAACATAATCTTCAAACCCAACCTCCACCAAAAAGTAAGTCTTTGCGCTGCCACACGAACTCGGTTGTTTCTCTTCCCTCTTGCCGCCGCCAAGCTCAGCGCCGAGCCTGCCGCTGATACATTGAAACTTTTTTGAAATACAGCGCGAAGGCCTCCTTCCGGATTCTGAAGTCACCGCAGCAGCGGCGCCAAGGGCAGCGAGGGAGGAGGGCGAGGGCAACCAGGTGAGGGTTGAAGCAGGGCAGGAAGAGATGGGTGCTGGAGGGAGAGGCAGTACACTGCTGGGCTGCGTCTGGCCTTCTGCTCGTATAATCGCGAGTATACACCAGGAGCCTAATGGTCTGCTTGTGGAGCTGACATGGAAAGTAGATTACATGGTGGGTTTCCTAGAGACTTTGACTCGCACTCATTGAGAACATACCTTTTCATCCTGCTGGCCACAGTCATACATGCATGCCTTTATGAAGGCCCTGAAGTCCTGAAATTAGCACTTTTATTGCATTATTGGCTGAGCGATTAGCGAAGCCTATTACACCAGTGATCAAAAAGTTTCGCGTCTGTCTGTCTTCTGCTTGTCTGTTTGTCTGTCTGTAATCACGATAACTCGAGAACGGTTTGAACTAGGCCTGTGGAATTTTTGTTGAAACTTTCTATCACAAAAAGCAAGAACTGTATTGATTTTTAGCCCTCTAACTCAAAAATTGACGTGTTGAAAAATTAATAACAAAAAGCCTAAAACATTTTCTTTTCGAAAATATTTTTAGGCAGTCGTTTAAAGACTGACTTTTACGTTCGAAAATAAGCCAGCCAGTTCAAATGCAAGCCAGCCAGTTCAAATGCAAGCCAGCCAGCCAGCAAGCGCACTCAGCCCCAGCCCCAGTACCCCAGCCTCCAGCTAGTATATATAAGGGCGTGTGCGTTTTTCGGGCGATGTCAGTAAAGAACAGCCGACAGGCATAACGCTGTAGCCGGAGATCACGAGGCGAGGAGGTGGCCTGGCCCACCCCGCTCCGCTCCCGCCAACGCACGCCAGGAAGGGGCCCGGCCCCGGCCGGAGAGCGAGAGAGAGAGAGAGAGAGAGAGAGAGAGAGAGCGAGAGCACTGCACATGGCCCCTGCCCCGCCTATGCATAAGGGCCCCTAGCGCGGCGGGGCCCCGCGCCTAAACATACACTGTTAATGTCTGAGGGAAATTATTATCTCGCCTCGCCCCATTTACCACAAAGAAACGAATTAGACTTCTCGCTTCTAAATTTTTATTGAAATGTTATTAATCTGGCATCCAAAGTTTCATTTGAAATGTTTCTAATTTTGGCAAAATATTAGCCCCTTATTGTGTATTTACAGAATTATTTTTAAGCAGTCGCTGTAGAACTTCCAAATACTTGAAGCCCCGTCTACCCCGCCAGTCCCGCCCGCCCCGCCTGCTTCGCCCAGCCAACCACGCGTGACGTTTTATGATTGCCTTGATTTTCTGATCTTTAAACAGTGGCTGTCTGTTCTGAAAGGTAACAGCTTTGTTACAAATTGCTGATTCACTTGTTCGAGTTTTAATGAAGATTGCTGATTGGCCTTTCAGTTTTGATAAAGATGGCTGATTGGCGTTTCAGTTTATAAAATGGTTGCCGATCGACCTTCTATTTCGACCTTCTATTTTATATAAACCGATTGACGTTGTTAAAGATAAATTTCCCTTTAGCCCCACCAGCCAGACCGCCAGACCCGCTAGCTGCTAGGTAGACCCACCAGCCAATCCGGCCCGACGTTTTATTTTTGTTTTTATTTCCCGATTTCTAATTTTTATTGATGCCCGTTGGTACTTCCGTTTTGTTGGTGTCAGCTTTCAAATCATCCGCCGACTGCCTTGCTACAGGCCAGCTGGCCAGTTTTTTATTTTTATCTTTCTAAGAGGTAACTCGTCAAAGTAGAAGTCAAAAGGACAAATATGTAGTCCGTTTGGCTCTTTCTCTAACCTTTTAGGCGCCAGAGGCGCATGGAAATGACCCCAAAACATTTAATTTTTTTCTCAAGTATGTGATGGTCTCCGGTGGGGTAACTCGTCAAAATAAAACCCCAATGAGGGGCAAAATTTGTAACTTTTGGGGCCGAAGGCCTAAGGACGAGTCTGCCTTTCGACCGACTCGGGTGTTAGCACCACAGGTATAGGACGATGTAGCAAGGCTAGTTTGAACTCCGCAGGTTCTCAAATGAAGACCGAGTTTGTAGTCCGCTTATGCTACCGATCGCATGCGTCCGTCTCTCCGTCTGGCTGTGCTCTCTACTAGAACACCGTGAGAAAACCCCACGTGAAATGTCTGAGGTGCGTCCCGTAAATTTGTCATCTGGTGCGTGACCACCGTACTTTTGCATTACGGTGCACGCCTTGCGGGATGCCCCATAACTTCGCAAACTGCCGCATTGGTCATTATAGCACTTAACTTACACTCTGAAATACGGTCCAAGTCTTTACGGTCTGGCCCGTACACAAAATTTACGGAACAGACCAAAGGCAAACCGTATTTCCTTTCGTTAGTTTTTACAGCAGTGAAAGAGATAAGCTAGACACGAGGCCAAAGACTTTTAATTTTTAGGGTGTATTAGGGGTCAGTACTAAAGACATTTTGCCCATTTTTAAGGGAAATTTTGGAGTCAAAGATGTTAATCTCAGAACGAGATCTATGTCTACATTGCAACAAAACGACCCTAAATTTTTTAGATCGCTAGCTCAATTTATTCTCGAGTTTTTGCGGTCCAGCCTTCGTTTCAAGTCCACGTGTACTTGGTTGTGCTCTTTCACCAAGAG